TTCTCCGGTAATATTTCATTTAGCTTTACCGTTATTGTTATATACTTGTGAGATCGTTTGCACGTGGTGTTGTTAACTAGAGAATGCGATAATTTTGCTTTTAACCGGTACAATTTAGCTTATTAATAACAAACTAGATAAAAAAAAATGATAATTGCACACGGGGCATTGCAGCGCACGATAATATAACGCAATAATGCATTGCTCTTGATGTCTACAGGAGGTCTGACACAGATGAAGAGCTCCTAATGAGGATGGGGCCTTTAGACTCCCGAAGGGAAAATGCAAAAAAAGCTTGGTGGATATTGACTTTGCCAGGTGCTGCATTCATTAAAGATCTGGTGCCAGGAAAAGGCAGACCACCTTCCAAATGAAATTGCGGCAGGTGTTCCAGCTTTTGGATGAAAAAGAAAAAAAACACTTTAAGGAGGTTTCTGCAGAGTACACACACAGGTTCTTCGTTTCAATTGCTGCTCTAGACTTGCACGATCACAATCGGCCTCGTCGTTTTATTGCATAACACGAGGACGCATCGTGCAACATGCGCAATCGAAAACCCACGCATGTACAAGCATGGCTCGTGCCATGCTTTCCCAACTGTGCATTTAATTTGTCCTCGGAGGCGTTGATTGCCAGTATGGAAGTCCTTATTTGCTCTCGTTTGTGCCTCCAAGGTGCGGGCAGACTCATCGGTCAATTTCGGCCAATTCTCAAAGGTGGTGACTTCCAAATAGCAACGAAACGTCACGCGAAAGTTTCGTCACTGTCAGTTCATCTTTCCTGGAGATGTCGTGGCTAGCAACCGATGTCTTTCAACCTTATAAAGCGTTAAGAAGAACAACAACTGTGACCCTCAATCGCGATGATTCATCAGTTCGCTCAATTAATAGGGAGGTGAATCCTTTGTTAATACAACTAATTTAGGACAGCATTCACAGAAATGTCCCTGTACCCCTTTGAGAAAATATTCTCGAGGGTTGCCAGGTGGCGCAGGGGTAAATTTTGAGTTTCAGCCACCTATGATTATAACTACAAGGTGACCAAGTGCAGCGACTTGACTGTCTCTGCCAGCCCATTAACAATTACTGCGCCAAAAAACAACTATCTTAAATTTAGTTTATCAATTGTCTCTTATGCCAGCTCTGGGGGGTGGGGGGGGGGTGGCTTCAAAATATTAGTGTCAACGACATACGGAAAACACTTCTTGCGGGGCATTAAAAGGTGTGCCCCCCTCGGGCGAATAAAGAGGTCAACCGAAGTGATTTCAGAAGTATCTCCCGGGAATCATCATCCAGGGTCATTCGTTGTTTGACACAGGGGCGATGCACTCCTAGCCGCAGAATTCCAAAGAAATAACGTGACACAATCGCGATCGCGTCTCGTGAAACGATTGCGATAGAAATAACGAAACCTAATTTGGGAAAGTAATAAAAAAACACCCCTCCCCCAATCTTGATTTGAAGCTTTTGTGACTGCAGCAATCCACACTCTTTGGTTCTTTCGGTAAAGTCACGTTGGTTAGAAAAATAAAATAAAACAAAAAAATAATATATCACGACGTTTCGATCCCAACACAAAGCGGTCGTCCTCAAAGGAAAAAATAATGCAGCAGTGGAACTGCTGAACCAGCTAGAGAGCAGTTACAACAACAAGAGTTTATTTACGTGGCGATGGGCAAGCAAGCGGGGTCTGAGCTGGAAAGGAATTCCATCCCCGGATGTGAACTGCCACAATATCATCTGTAGATCTAAGATGCTCTCTTTGCTGGCACACGTAAAAAAAAAATCCAGTGCGTGGAATTGTCATCGGCTCGAAAATATGTCATCTATTTTAGGCCAGTGAACTCCATGTGTCTTACCCAAGATTGCAATCCAAGGTTGTAGTGCACTAAGTCCGATTGCAAAGATCTTGCAGGCTTATTGTTGGCTAATTTCCAATGCACCCACATTTCTCGAGTGGTCTCGCTATCTGCCACAGCACTATTTTATCAGCTCCTCCAGTTCCCCATTAAGCCACCCTCACAATGCCTCAGGGGAGTTGTTGTCTTCTTCATTGCTGCATTTGCTCCAGTAGTCTGGCGTGAACCAGCTGCTAACGGAGCTGTGTCATGTACAACCAAAATAGGTAAATGCGCAGCCCCTTCAATTGCTTGCCCACGCCACCGCCAACAGAAGGGCTTCCACTAGAGGATGCTTAAACAGTCCCTCGAAGAGGGCATTTGGTCTACTCTTCCTGCTGGCCAGACGTACTAAACTAAACTTTTCTTTTCATTTTACCAGGTAAGAACTACTGAGCTCTATAGCTGTTATTCAGAAGCGATCTGGGTACAAATGATAGCTCAACGAAGTGACCTATCATGTGAGAATTTATAGCAGCCAAATACTCTACACGCACGATTCTAAGTGGGGGGGGGGGGGGGGGGGAACCGTAGGACCCGGATAAAATCCACGTGACCACGGGGAGAACATGCAAACTCCAAATGTACAGGCGTCAGGGTCGGGATCGAATCCACGACCTCCTGTAAATCAGACGAGGTAGTTAACATCTCGCCGCTGTGGCACCGTAAGATACGTCTTTAAAGAGGTGGAAGAACTCACGCTCATACCCCTCGCCGCCACACTCAACCTGCTGATCGACTTTGGTGTCGCCAATTATACTGCTGGGCTGTGCCATTGCTTCAACTGCTGCCCTAGTAGATTGAATTTAACCTTTGACCTCTGCATTGCAAAGCCAGTGTGCTAACCATTACATCATGACAGCATCAGTGCAAGTATAATAATAATAATAAAAATGTAATGTCCTATATATATCTTGCATCACAGCACTGTGAAGGACCGAGTGGAAAGGCTGACGTTGAATTATAATTTGAGTTATTTAGCGATGAAAGCCTCACCTGAGCCCAGACATTGTCAGGAGGGTTCTGTATTGGGTTGTTTGGCTAATTCGATTCGTGAGGTTTTTTTTTGGCTTGTGATATGCGACAGCACCCAGAGAAAAAAACTCACTATGCACGGGAGAGGGTAACGCTCACAGCTCCACACGGATGGAATCAAGAATCTGTTCCTGTACTGTCAACTGCCATCTCAGCACACGTTCTTACGTACACATACATGTGCACATGTGTATGGGGGGGGGGGGGGGTAATGGCAGTGGTTAGCACGTTGCGCTATTAACCTGGCAACCAGAGTTGGATTCCCGCTCATGTCCAACACCAGCGACGATCTTCTGAACCGGCCTTGGGCCCCCCCTAGTTTAACTCGGCCTCAAATGAGTACCTGGTGCAGTGTGTAAACATCGCCACTGGGGAGACAGAGGCGGCCGGGCGTGGTGCTGGCCACCCACCCCCTCGTGTGCTGTGCCGGCCTTCATAGGCGCTCACTAACAGCACTTGCCCCAACAGTCTGTTAAGCTTTGTACCGGCGACCTTTGTCTGTTGTTGGTGCATAGTTAAATTATGCAAATCTGGTCGCGCGCACACACCTACTTCATATCGACCACTCGTTAAGTGAAACCGGTGGGGCAGCCTGGGAGGTGTTCTCCGATAAACTCACGTGAAGATACATGTCAGTCACTTTTGCTATATCTTTCAAAATATAGCCCATTGGAAAAAATCTAAGGAAACTCCATCCATTACAGCTTCACTAATTCTGCTAAACAAGGCAGGCCATTTGCTACATATGAAAGGTTCCTGCCACCAACAGGTTATATTTAAGACCAAGCGTGCATAAGATCATTTGCGCACCGCACAGTACGAGTACTCAATCACCGAGGGAACATTTCACGAGCCGCTCTCGCCGACACTTTAGGTAATGGACCTTCAGGAAATGTGGCCAGATATCTCTGACTTTTGCGACTTTCGAGGTGGGGCAGTAAAGTAACCGACTACAGAGAAAGGAATCCCAAGCCTGGCCCCCAGCAGCACATCGATAGCCCTCTCCAAAGAGTCTTGCGGTGGACGGTAACACGGAGACCTTGAGCCCAGGGCATCGTAACTGCAACGAAATGCGCCGGTGACATTGGGCGACTGTGATGTGCCGTGTACGCGCAATTGCTCGAGTGTCGATACAAACATTGAATTGTTCATCTTTCTTGATAAACCACGGGATGAGTGGGCGTAATGTGTCATTGAGTGACATTCCTGTGCCGTGTGCGTGGTGTATGGTATACAGAAAAAAAGCAATAGGTTGCGAGATAGATCTCAAGGTTATTCCCATGATGGCAGGAATTAAAAATGTCCACAAACTCCTCTTATCCACCTCGATAATAGGAGCAGCAAAGGGATGGGGGGGGGGGGCAGTTAATAAAGGCGGATGTACTGGATATCTGTGAAAGAGAGCTATATAGCGTATCGGATCCCTCCGGTAAAAACAAATATTCTGATTCTGGATCCTATTAACAACCCCTCTCTTTAAAAAACAACTTCCGATATCCGTGCGTTTTTTTTTTAATAGTTATCCAACCGAGGAATGGAACGCTTCCGAGAGATGGAACGATGATAAAATTAGTTCGCCTGCGGATGCTGGGTGGATTGTTGAACATGGTGTGGGATTGTAATAGGTGGCGGCAGCTTGGTGAGAGGCCTGACGACGATCCACGGATAAAGATGAATAGGTGCTCGTATTCTTAAGGTCTTTTGGTAAAGTCACGAAGATAGAAAATAAAATAAAAATGACAGATAATAAAATAAAGACCGCTTGTGTTGCGACCGAAACGTCGTGGGTTTTTAAAAATATTTATTTTCAACTGATTTTTCTTTTATTTTTGCATTTAATTTTATTATCTGTTATTTTTTATTTTATTTTCTATCTACGTGACTTTACCGAAAGAACCAAGAATACGAATTCCTGCAGCCGCGAAAGTTTTAAGTAAAAACGAACGGGTGGCTGACAACCGACGAATGAAACAGCGACAACAACAACAACAGCGACGCGTGACGCAAGGGTGACTTGTCAGACAAACGGACGGACGGACGGGAAGAAGCCAGCGGCGCGGACACCCACATGCGCAGGCAAGCAGGTGGACACGCGTGGCGGCTTGCCACCCACCCTGGTGGGCGCGCCGAGCCCGTGAAGCCCACCACGCTCCTCTGCTGCTTCACGCCGGGACGGTTCAGGTTGTTCGGGGCAGACACGGAGGTGGCCATGGCGATAGCCGGCATCCCCGGGCCGCGATTGGCCGGCGTGTATCCCGCGGCGATGGCCTGCAGAGCAGGCTGTGACCGTGGTCTGCTCACGGTCAAGCCTGACCTGGCCTGCCCCTGAAACACACGAAACAAAGACCCCCACCCCCCACCCCCGTGTAGCCTTAACAGACTGTTGGGGCAAGTGCTGTTAAGCGAGCACCTAGGGAGGCCGGCACGGCACACGAGGAGGGTCGGCGGCCAACGCCACGTCCAGGTTCCCTCGTTTGTCTCTGCAGTGTCAATATTTAAACACCGAACCACCAGGTACTGTGGCAAGGATCTCAAGTGGGTGCCACGATTTGGTTTCGGGACGCCACAAAGTCACTTTTTTAGTCTTTGCAAGCGTTGCAGGTGGAGGCAGTGGCGTAGTGGTTAGCAGGCTGCGTGACGACCCCGGTGTGATATTAGTTCGATTCAGCGAGCACCTCCAAACCCTCAGTGACGACCGATATATTTAAGCAGTCCCAAGTACAGCTTTCCACCAAGCTGTACTCACCAACGTAGTGAACTATGGCCACGTGGGCCCCACAACCCGAAGGCCTTCATCCGGCAGTGAATTTACAAAAAAGGGTTGAAAACTATTATTATTCCTGTAATTGTTATTCACATTCTTGGTTCTTTCGGTAAAGTCACGTAGAAGGGAAACAATAAAATAATAAAAATATAAAACAATAATAATTTTATTTTTTCCCTTCTACGTGACTTTACCGAAAGAACCAAGAATATAAATCCCTGCAGTCACGAAAGCTTTAAATCAAAATTGTCATTCACGTTAAGATTTTCATTTAAGTCCGGGCATAAATCTTGTGAATCTAAATGGCATGGAGCATGTTTAAAAAAACATTTGCTCTACGAATAACCTTTTAGAAAACATCGACATCATTGGTCACGTAATTTTTTTTTTTAAAGTGCAACACAGTCATTATTTTGCAGAAAATTTTTATGCGTCCGCTTTGATATTAAATTTTCTTGTTGGGACAAATGTGATTCCGGCTTTTGGCGAAGAGCCTAAAAATCGTCGGATCGGCGGGAAGCCGTACAGCAGATGAATAACGGCAGATGGCAAAAAGACAGAGAACAAACCAGACCGGGGTGGGGGGTGGTCCTGCTGACAAAACTCTGGATTCATCACAAAGCCGCTGCGCTCGCGTCTGGGGAAACCGGCTGGCATGGCGCGATGTGGCAGCATTCCTCACCTGTGTCTGCCTCGTCGGCGAGCTGAATGTCTCGCGTCTCCTCTGCTGTTGCTGCTGGGACATTGCCTGCTGCATTTGCATCTGCTGCTGCTGATGATGATGATGCGTGGCGTTGCCAGCCGTGGCCGTGGAGGCCAGGTTGTTGGTGGACAGAGCGGGCCGCTGAGTCACCGTCCCATAGGCGGTGACACCCAGCATGTTCTGCTGCTGCTGCTGCTGGGCATGTCCCTGCACATTCTGGTGGTGGTGGTGGTGGCTCTGCTGCTGCTGGTGCAAACACTGAGGACACGCGCACAGCAGCGACATCTGCTGCTGTTGCTGCTGCTGGATTTGCTGCTGATGCATCTGCTGATGCTGGCCGCCGTGGTGTCCCTGGCCGCCGGAGGCCTGGCCGGCTCCGACGGGCCACGACTGCGACTTGGGCAGAGCGAGGGGCCCCGCGGCCAGGCTGCCGCCGCCGCTGTTGATGACGAGCAGCGGGTACGGCGTGTCGAGGCGCCGGCGGAGGCGGCGGCGCGTCTGGCCGAGCCGCCCGATCTGGCACATGGCCGTGAAGTCGAGCAGGATGGGCAGCCCCAGGGTGGCCAGGTCGAGCCACGGGTGCTGCTTCTCGTGCGCGTTCTGGATGGTGACGCACACGTCCATCGGATACGGGGTCCACACGCCGCTCTCGCTCTCCCACTCCCACACGACGCCGCGCCCCGGCGCCGCCGAGGGATCGTAGAAGCTCCGTCGCACCGGTCTCATTGTCCCTGCGGCGGAGAGGGAACGCTCACGTTAGGAGGAGGAGGAGGATGAGGGGGAGTGGAGGAGGTGGGAGAAGCAGTGGAGGAGGAGGAGAGAGGATGGGCACAGAACGTGCAGATGGCATGTGGGCTCAGAGAACGCGTGACGAGGGAAATGGACTAAGGCGCAAAGACTGTTGACTTTTGAATAGTTTGTCTGTAACTAAGCATCTGCTAACGGGCGACTGTTTAAATGCCAACTTTAGGATGTTTTATCATGGTCTAGAGTGCATGCTCAATCCGTTATTCATTCAATCGCTCTGTCCTTTCTAGATCTCGGCTTTGAACATTTGCCCAAAATGGTCGCCTGTTATGTAAGTTTTTTTCCCTCTTTTCGAGTTGTGTTATTTTTTTGTAATTTTTTTTAATGTTATTTCGTGTTTGTGCACCACTGCGAACGCAAGCGTCATACATTTATGGTTTTTAATCGCGTGGTTCAATGGCCTCAGACAGGGGCATTAACAAATTCTTTGGTCGTGAAAATAAAACTTTCTGAACCACAATCACGCGCGAACGCCGACGGTGGAGAACTTGCGTCTAAAACGTACAACTTTTTGACACGTTGGTAGATCACAATGGTGCGTATTGATAAAGCGACGTCAATCACGTAACGTATGAAGCTACCGCATTTCTTTCCCTATATAACTGTAACATCTGCGTGCCGGTTCACCAGCGCATGGCAGCGCATTCAATTAAAAGTGGAAATACGAGCCGGTGTGATCTACACAGCTACGACGAAGAGACGTTGCAGACAGCAAGATGAGGTTGGGGCTGCCGGGGGGTGGGGCGTTGGGGAGGGGTGAGGGACACGAAGGAGTCTGTAAACGAGAACCCGGCAACAAAGGGTTGATTAAATCAGGGGTGCCAACCCCCGGGCCGCGGACCGGTACTGGTCCGTGGACCGGTACTGGTCCGTGGACCGGTACTGGTCCGTGGACCGGTACTGGTCCGTGGACCGGTACTGGTCCGTGGACCGGTACTGGTCCGTGGACCGGTACTGGTCCGTGGCCTATTAGGAACCGGGCCGCACAGCAGGAGGTGAGAGCGGTGAGTCCGCGCGTGGCCCTCCCATTATTTTATTATTCACCACTTCTGTCCGCGTCTCTTTCCCGCACTGCGCACTTGTCTCAGTCACAGTGTTTTGGTAAGCCCACGAGCTCTAACCCCCTAGTTGCCAAAATGAGTAAAAAAAAACAAACGTCGCTGGAGAGCTTCTTTGAAAAGGGGGAAAGACACAATGATGAACCCCCCCCCGGTCCGTGAAAAAATTGTCTTCCACGAAACCGGTCCCTGGTGCCAAAAAGGTTGGGGACCGCTGGATTAAACGACTGTGACGCAGAAGCGGCGGCGACTGGATAGGAGCCAGGGTATCAGTGACAGCGGTCAATTGTGTGTAAAGCACCGTGATCACGCCAGCACTTCAGGAGGTAAAAATGCCGTCTGATCATTCACAGAAGTCTCGCCGAGCCTCAAGACTCTTCCTCAGGAGGGTCCTGCATTGAGATGTTTGAGGAAATCTGTGTGCGAGTGTTTGGCACGTGGTAGAAAACCCAAGTAACCGGGCAGGTTTGGCACATTTTCCACAGGCCCAACCCAGGCATATTTCTCAGTCAGCTCAAGTTTATCTGGGTACGAGTGATTTACAGATCTCGGTAAGAATGATTTCCAGATTTCGGTACGAAATATGATTTCCGGGCACCATAAACACAGATGGCAATTCCTGGATTGTCCGGGTCAAACCCGGACAGACGGGCCACGCTCGTACACGCAGAAAGCACACACACGAGGGGATTGGTGAAGTGGCGTAGGCCCAAATCAGGTCGAAATATTACTTCCCACTAATGTTAGCCATGGCCGGGAATCAAATGGCTGGGTAGCCAGGTTCACAATGCAGTGTGCCAACCACTGAGTCACTGCCCCAGTTTGACCGTCAGATCATTAATTATGCTGTTAATTAGGGTGTGGTGGTATGCATGCCTATGAGCCAGCACTTCGGAGAATAGGTTATCTGCATGAATCGCATGCAGCAATTTTAAGAACTACATAACTCATTGCTCTTCAGAGTGTCCTGCAGATAGCAGAGTAACAGCAAAGTGGGTTTGTTATTTGTCTTTGAGGACCTCAGAGTCATCTTCACTCAAATGTGCCAGGGATTTCTCTGGGCATTCCCGTTTCCTCCCACAACACGCTCATTAAAAATGAATTGTCTAATCATTCAAATGCAGGACTGTCCCAATTAATTATCGCAATTAATCATCAGATTGTATTTTCGTGAACAATCCAAGTGGGTTTCCCTAACCCAAACACATTCATCTTTGCCAGTTATATCCACCAGGAAATCACACATTCAGAGAAGCTCCTTACTCCGTTAATTAGGATACCGTGTTCCCTTCTCTGGATTTTTATCATTCCCATGTGCCCTTCCCGTGTAACTGAAGATTTTGCAAGGCCAATTGAAACCGTAGCTTCAAATATACAAACACATACATCAGCCTCGACTAATGTATGTCAAATGGCTACCGTGGCAGATTTAGTTCACACACACAGAGTGGACTTTTTACCATCATCAACATCATCAGTCATGGTCAATCCACTGCTGAATGAACCCCCATCCCCCCCTACCACAAGCCATCACCAACTTTCCCAATCCTGAACGTAATAATCCACACGCTCCGTTCCTTGGGGTTTTATTTACGTTTCGACTGTAGACGTGTTAACACTTTATACGTTTAAATTGATAGTACCGTTTCGCGATGCTATCGATCAAATAACGAGTCTAACACTAAAAAAAATCGATTGTTTATGATTTATGCAAATCGTATGCAATGTGTTTTTTTATGAGCAAACAACATGAATCGTACATCCGCTTCACTGCATGGAGCGTTCGCACCGTAAAGGCTCGCCCGCTCCCGACAAGACTCTCAAAGGAGAGTGCTGCTCAATGAGCTAATTCGTCGCTCCTTCATTTCGCCTGCAATCGCACAATTAGGGGAGGGTGATCGCCAACGTGTGGCCGCGCGGGGGGCGGGGGAGGGGGGAGACTTTTCCTCATTGCCTGCTGCTGCGAGCCACCGTCAGAAGAGTGTCTCCCCCCAGCCCCACCCACGACAAGCTCCGAGCTCGGCTGCCCCCCCCCCAACCCCGCGCTGCCCAAGACGCCGTGTCTCTCCCAGGTGCGCGGCGGGCAATCACAGGCGCCGACTTTCAGGGTGCCGAGACTAAGCTCAACTACTTTTTTTTCATCAGGTGAGGCCCACCGAGCTATGTAGCTTTTTTTCAGACGCGACCTGGATATCACAAATGGTAGGTCGACGAAGTGGCTTCCGATCGTGTTGGGAATTTATAGCGGGCAAATGCTCTTCGACGCGTGATGCTAATCCTCAACGCGGAGGGGAGAAACTCGGAGGGCCCGGAGAAAAATCCACGTGACCACGGGGAGAGAGAGAGAACGTGCGAACTCCCCAAAAAATTCCAGTCTCCCGGTAATCCGGAAAAAAAATATTGAGTATGAAATTAATTCGTGGGGGTACAGCAAGTGAGAGTGCAGGTTCCGCAAATGGACTAGGGGTCCCTGGGCTGGAGGGGGCCCGCGTGTTGGGGTACAAATAGGTGGGAATTCGACAGAGGGCCCCACTCCATTCTCATAAATACACACCACTGATCCTCTTGTTTTCGTTGTTATTGCTGCTGTTGTAAGCACGTTCACTGACTTCTCAACGCCAACGCATCGACGGACCATACGATTACAAAATCCAAAGTCACAATTCCGACTTGCAGAGCGTCTACTAAGTGCGATCTGATCTTGAAATGCACGTGGTGCACAAATCGCATGACACATTTTATATTTTGCTCAAAATGAGATAAACAATATTGTAGTCAAGAGAGAAAACAAGGATATGATACAAACAATACGGTTAAAATTATGAAGAGAAAAAAGAGTTTAATTTAATCGTGAACCCGAATTGTGAAAATGCATCATTGCCAGGGGTTGTTGGAGCGAGGGGGGGGGTGAGAGGCGGTGAATCGCGATTCCTCTAACGTCTAGGACATCTTTTCTCCCCTGGCTTGCGATCTACGATACCTCAAGAGAGTGTTTTGTCTATTTATGAACGCACGCACACATAGTACAGGTTGGTACGGCGTAGATCACAGAGATTTGTTCTCGGGCACGTCCCGTCATAGACACGAGGCAGATGGGTGCGCATGCTACGGCACATAATGTGACAATCGGGAGTCCAGTAAAGTTGGACAAGCCTGCACAAATTCCAGTTAAAAATCAATAATTGATCGTTACTTTAAAGAATTGGTTTAGCAAAAGTCGAAGCGATTCCCTGCTTAATACAGGTTATTTTTTGGGGGGGTTAGATCGCGAAAATATATCAATGTTGTGTCGTTAAACCCGCCACCACCCGACACAGCCAATTAGTAAAGTTTGTCACGTAAACAGAACGTGGCCAATTCGTCACTAGTACAGCAACACCGGTTGTGTGTTGGAGAGCAAAACATTTACAATCTGAGTACGACGTTTCGCCAAGAATTACAACTAGCTTCATCAGGCGACAGCCAGATTCGTGGAGAAATCCTCCTTGCTCTATTGAGTATTTAGAGGCAGTGTTTATCTCCCATTTAGAGAACTGATCCTGCGATGAAAATTCCCCATTCCTATGACAGGGACAAGCATATCCGTTGGACAACCACTGTTGACTTCCCCACAAAATAGCAGTGTAGATCACGGAGGTTATTGTTCAATTAAATTAACTTAATGCGAATATCCATGAAAAGTGATATGCTTGCATCATAACAATTTGGTTATGTTGCGGCCCAAATTATCTATATATAAAAAAGGGAATTTAGTGAATGTGTGTGTCTGTTCGAAATGTTTAGCATACTTTCCGACATGCAACAAACTTGAAATTTGGCATGTGGGTAGCTTCCAGACTGTACACAATGCAAAAAGTAAAACAATT